TGGTTCAGGCGGGGGACACAGGAGGGGAGGAGTAAGGGCAGCAGAATGCGGGGTACCAAGAACCCGCTGGAGCAGGGGAACGAAGTACGGTCGCGGCCGCACAGCGCCACCAGGGTCAACAGCTCCAGCTCCTCCAGCTCCAGCACCTCCAACACCAGGGCCTCCAACTCCAGCGCCTCCTGCGCCAGGGCCACCAACTCCAGCTCCTCTAGCTCCAGCGCCACCAGCGCCAGTAGTACCAGACTCCGTAAGTACTCCAGCTCCAGCACCCTCAACACCACCAGTCCCGACAGCTCCAGTACCCCGGGTAGCACCTCCAGGACCAGTGGTCGCAGTACCTCCAGTTTCACCAGCTCCAGCAGCAACTCCAGTACCTCCAGCTCCAGCAGCGCCAGCACCTCCAGCTCTAGAAGCTCCACTCCGAAGGCGCGGACGCCGAACAAACCACTCACGCAACTGCTGCGGAGACAGTCTCGGCAAAGCACCAGCAGAACCTCCAGACGAAGCAGCACCCTGAGGCTCCGCACCTCCAGACTCCGCACCCTCCGACGCAGCACCCCCAGGCTCAGCACCCCCAGGCTCAACACCCCCAGGCTCAGCACCCCCAGTCTCAACACCCCCAGGCTCAGCACCCCCAGTCTCAGTACCCTCAGACTCCGCACCCCAGGCTCCGCACCCCTAGACGCAGCACCTCGAGCAGCACCTGAGTCGACAGCTACCTGAACAGGCGCAGGACCAGGGAGAGGGTCTACTTGAGAGACACCTGAGGGAGCAGGACCCTGGGGCGGGAGGGGGTCTGCCGGAGGGGGACCGGGAGCAAGGAAGAGCGGCAGGGGCGGAGGAGGGGCAGAGCGGTAGGGGAAGAGATGGTAAAAGGGAACCGACTCGTCAAACGTGACGTCCTGAGAAGGGAAGACACGGCGCGAGGTGGGGTGGTAAAACTGCCAGCCAGGCGCGTCGGGGACAAAGCCAAGGAAGACGCAGGGGATAGCACGTGGGGAGAGCTTGTCCGCTGACGTATCGCGAACAAAGGCACGAGATCCCCAGACCCGGAACACCGACGCATCGCCAACCTCCCCCGTCCAACGCAGTGTGGGCGAGGTCTCCGGCAAGGAGACACGGGGCCAGAGGTTGAGCTGATGCGCAGCGTACCGGTCCGCAAATGGCCACAGAAAATGGGGAGCAGCCGCATGGATCATGGAGGTACGAGCGACCTCCATGACTAAGCCAATGCGGCGCTCAGCAATCCCATTTTGCTGAGGGGAGTCCGGAAGCGTGAACGTCTGGAGAATGCCCTCCCCACGACAAAAGTCCCGCAAGAGGTTGGAGGAGAACTCACCACCTCGGTTAGAGTGCAGACGCATGACAGGAAGGTCCTGGCCGAACCGCTCGCGGAGCTGGAGACGGACTGTGCGGATCCAAGGGATCAAGACATCAACAACCCGACCCTTGCTGCGCAAGGGGAAGACCGTGGTGTACCGCGTGTAGTCGTCAACTACCAGCAGAAAGTAGCGCTCGCGGCTCTGTCCACTGACGCGGGCTGGGCCCCACACGTCCATATGGAGAGTCTACAGGGGAGCAGACGTCGGGGGAAACGAGGAGGAGTGAGGAGCAGCGCGCTGCCGCCCCTCGACGCAAGGGAGGCAGGGCGGGGCAGGTGAGGGCGGTAGGGGAGGCAGGGACCTGGGGAGGCCAGATACAAGAATATGAGAGTGCATGCCACGAAGGCGAGGCAGGGAGGGGTGACCCAGACGGTGGTGCCACAGAAGAGTCTGGTGCGACAGGAGGCGACACGAGCAAGAGGCGGCTACCTGACCTGACGCGGTCACCTGAGCAGACGCAGCGACCTGAGAAGGCTCGGTAGTGAGTGTGTACAGACTCGACCCTGGTCGATGAGTGAACGTGGCCAGGTGACGCCCCATCCGTGTGCATGTGCAGATCGACACACGCTGACCCCCAGGAGTGGTGGTAGTGACCATCGCATCCTCGAGGGCAGCGGTACTCACCAAGTTCGTAGAGAACGAGGGGAGGTGAAGACCTGACAGTGAGCCGGACGGAACCGCCGGACACGGGAGGACAGTGGAGGAACGGGCCACGACCGGTCCCCCGGAGGGGTCAGCCAGTCGGACCGAGACAGGTGCAGGAAGAAGAGTGAGGGTGGTGCTGTCACGAAAGAAACAGCGCGAGGCGCTGGAGTCCAACGTGAAAGTGTGCAAGGCCTCAGCAGGCGCAGTACCAGGGAGAGTACCAGACTCACTAGCACCTAGAGCAGCAGCAGCTATACCTGGGTCAGGCGGCACACACCGGTAACAGTCACCCTCAGCACTAACAGACAAAGCATACATAGCAGAAAGAATAGCATCAAAGTCTAGGTCAAAGATAGCAATCCTAGACTTAAGCAGATCTGCCCAGCGAAGGAGCTCGACGTCGTCACCAAACTCAGCACGCCAAGCGTCGTCGAGGCGGGAGAAGCAGCGGTGCTGAGTGTGGAGCCACCCGCAAGTCTGACCAGCACGGTCACCTATGCGAATGACATACGGGCAACTACCCTGAGACGCCCCACGCAAAAACCACTCACGAAGCTGCTGGGGAGACGGGGTCTCGCTCCGACGCTGCTGCTACTGACCCTGGCCACCCCAGGGACCGACACGCCATGGTAATGGCAGGTGGTTACGAATGGCTAAGCGGGCAGCAGCGTCACGAGTAAGCCACTGTGAGCGATTCGAACTGTCAGCTGTGGCGGGAGGGGCAGTAGCGGCGCCTGACGCTAGGTCAAACAGCGAGACAATGTCCTTAGAATCGCTCAGTAGGTACAGCTGCAGGTCGTCTAGCCACGTGTCAAACTGAACCGGTCTGCCCTCATGATCAAACGCGAGAACCCGAAGCAAAGCCATAGCTGTGCAGCACGCTGGATAGCAGTAGTAGTAGCAGTAGCAGCTGTAGCAGTAGTAGCAGTGACAGTACCGGGCTATAGTTGTAGCTGTAGCAGTAGCTAGGTACCGGGCCGGGCGTTGGGCTAGGTACGGGGCTGGGCGCTGGGCTAGGTACGGGGCCGGGCGGGGCTAGGGACTGGGCCGGGCGCGGGCTAGGTACGGGGCCGGGCGCTGGGCGATGGACGGGGCCGGGCGCTGGGCGAGGGACGGGGCCGGGCGCTGGGCGAGGGGCGGAGCTGGGCGCGGGCTAGGGTAGGGGCCGGGCGCTGGGCTAGGTACGGGGCTGGGCGGGGCTAGGGACCGGGCTGGGCGCGGGCTAGGTACGGGGCTGGGCGCTGGGTGAGGGACAGGGCTGGTCGCTGGGCGAGGGGCGGGGCCGGGCGCTAGGCTAGGTACGGGGCCGGGCGGGGCTAGGGACCAGGCCGGTCGCTGGTTAGGTACGGGCGGGGCGCGGGCGTGAGACGGGGCCGGGCGCGGGCTAGGTACGGGCTGGTCATGAGCTAGGTACGGACCGGGCGCGGGCGAGAGACGGGGCCGGGCGCGGGCTAGGTACGAGCGGGTCGCGGGCTAGGTATGGGCCGATCGCGGGCTAGGTATGGGCTGGGCGCGGGCGTGAGACGGGGCCGGGCGCGGGCTAGGTACGGGCCGGGCACGGGTGTGAGACGGGGCCGGGCGCGGGCTAGGTATGGGCCGGGCGCTGGGCTAGGTATGGGCCGGGCGCGGTCGTGAGACGGGGCCGGGCGCGGGCTAGGTACGGGTCGGGCGCGGGCGAGAGACGGGGCCAGGTGCGGGTGAGGTACGGGCGGGTCGCGGGCTAGGTACGGGCCGGGCGCTGGGCTAGGTATTTGCCGGGCGCGGGTGTGAGTACGGGCCGGTCGCGGGCTAGGTACAAGCCAGGCGCGGGCGAGAGACAGGCCGGGCGTGGGGCTAGGAACGGGCCGATCGCGGGCTAGGTACGGGCCGATCGCGGGCTAGGTACGGGCCGGGCGCGGGCGAGAGACGGGGCCGGGCGCGGGCTAGGTACGGGGCCGGGCGCGGGGCTAGGGGCGACGGGCCTAGGGGGGTACTCGCAGCGTAGCAGGTGGTGGGCCCAAGTAACCTGCTCTGATTCCATGTGAAAGTAACGAACGAGAATGAATGAACTAGGAAACAGTTGGGTACAAGTACTATCCCTAATTGGGTTGTACCCCTTATGGGCTACCCCACTATAGCCTACGCAAATGTATAAGCTATAATGTTCTTACATGTTTTGTCGAGAATGGGGCTACAGTTTTGTTTTTTTCAGCTGGCAACATTTGTACTGTGGCACCAGCGATCTGTTCACGATTCTCTGGGATGCCACAATGTGAAATTCGAAACCTTGCGTTTTTTCTCAAACTGAGCTCCATGTTCCCGATTTTCGGGCAGTACAGGAAAGTTGTTCGCAATCCACGTGCCACATCACCCAGGCTAATTTTTTTTCACGCATGTTGCAAGACTAGAAAAGCGTCGAATACGAATTCGCCTTACACAGAGAATTGTGTGATTGGGGCGAGTCTGACTAGAGGTTGTCTGACAAGGGCCCCGTAGGAACACGCTCTTACTCTGATTTGTCATAGAAGACTTAGGGAACATTCCTGTGGAGACACTTGTGTCTCAATCACTTTGTGACACCCAAAAACATCAAAAACTGTATTGTGTCACAAACGCGGATCGCAGTAATGCGACTTTCACTGTATTTTACATTGGTTGGCGTGAATTGCGCTGGTGTCGCGGACGAGTCATACGAGGCCCCGTCACATCCTAGAAATCGCACGCGTGTCAAAATGACATGCTGCTTGCCGGCTCGATCACATGCACTTGGACACCTGAAGTGGTGGCAGATTCGAATGGGAAATGAACCCGCTCTGCCCGGGCAGACCAACAAGTGGTGGTAGCAACCCACCATCGCACATCCCTGCCCGCTCATGCGCACCTTTCCCACCTTGCTGACATCTCTCCCTCCCCAATCTCCTCTTCTTCTTCTCACCCAACCCCAACTATCAAATGTTGTTTTCCTCTTCCACATATCTATCCCAATCCGTAGCCATGGCCCGTAAGCGCAAGAGCGCAGCTACTGCTACTGACCAGTGCCCGCGGGATCTCAACGAGATCCCGTATATTGCTTGGATGAACAAGCAGCTCGCAGCCGGACGCAAGCCCGCCGGCCCGTTGCCCGAAGGAACGCCTGAGGCGGGGGACACATCTTACTACCAAGCCCCGCGTGATGTCCCCACTCGCGGCCACCGTGCGACTGACCGGGTTGCCTCCTCGCGCATCGTGGACGATGTGGCATTTGGTAACGACAACGACGACTCAGACTACAACGAGTGCAACGACGGCACCGAGGATGACGCAGACTCTGAAGAGGAAGAGAACAAGGGCATGTCTGACTCCGAGGAAGACGCCGACGCGGACGAGGCCGACGCAGACGATGCCGACGGCGACGAGGATGACGCACCTGAGGAGGCGCAGCCCGCAGCACAGACGCCTCGTTGCGGCCATGCTACTACCGCATCCGGAGCCAAGACCGCCGCTAAGGGCGGCGAACCACCTCGGGGCGCAGCCAAGACACACAACCTGCACCCAGTGAAGCGCAGCGTTTGGTCACCCCGCGAGAGCACCATTTTCGTGGCGGTGCGTTGGTTCATGAAGGACAAACTCGATCCCCTCATCTGTTAAGATACTAGGCACCTAGGAAACTAGGTTTAGGCTTAGGCTGCATAGCCTGGGTGTCGAGAGAGTTGAGGCAAGGAGAAAAGTCGAGAAAGGATGAGTTCACTATAGAAAGTCGGAAACATATATGCAAAGGAAAGAGACGTGCACTACCAAACAAGTTTAGAACTACATTAAGTCTACACTACAGACAGTTATAAAGGATATATAAATATATTCTAACACACCCCCTAACTGCCTGTAGTGAAGAACCTTGTGCACAACACCCCCTGAAGGGGTACACCAGGAGCAGCGGAGGAAGGAGAGGGCAAGTGAAGAGGAGGAGGGACCATGAGAGGAGAAGAGGTGGTGGGTGGCGGCTGAAGCTGCTGGCACACGGGCAACTGGAGCAACTGGCACACTGGCAAATGGAGCAACTGGCACACGGGCAACTGGAGTAACTGGCTCCGCGGCTAAGCGAGCGGCAGGAGCAACTGACTCACGGGCTACAGGAGCAACGGGCACACAGGCAACTGGCGCAACGGTCTCACGGGCGACTGGAGCTGCTGGCTTCACGGCGTCCACCCCCCTTCAACCTCCCTTTCACACCCCTCCGCATCCCTACCGCCACTCCCTCATATCCCCCACACCCTCCCCCCCCCCCCGAGCGGCATGTGCAGTAGTGGGAGAGAGAGGAGGAGAGGCGGCAGCAGTTCACTCACACCCGCCCCCCCATACCCTCCCCCCACTGCTGCACCCGCAGCAGGGGGATGGAGGAGAAGGGGGGGGGGGAGCGGGGGGGCTGGTGCTGCAGATCCCCTCCCCCCCACTGCTGCACCCGCAGCAGGGGGATGGAGGAGAAGGGGGGGGCGGGGGGGCTGGTGCTGCAGATCCCTTCCTGCCAACCCCTTAACCTCCAAGCTCCCCCCCTTCTCCCGACACAGCGACAAGTGCGGCAGGAAAAGAGAGGAGGAGATGGTGAGCGGCTGACCACTCACACCCGCCACCCCCATACCCTCCCCCCCTCTAATGCACGCGCAGCAGGGGGGGAAAGGAGAGGCGGAGGGGGAGGGGGGGGGGGGCGGCTGACTTGGTGACGAAGCAGAGCAGCGGGGCACTGGAGGTGCAACCACCCCCCACCGCCACTCCTGCGTCCCCCCAACACCCTCCCCCCCGCCCAAACTGCTGCACGCAAGATAGGAGAGGGAGGAGGAAGTGGGCGGCGAGGACGACGGGAGGCAGGGCAGCGGGGCCCCCGTGCGACGGGCAGAAAACCGTCGCACGCTGGGGGCATGCGACGGGCAGAAACCGACGCATGCCCGGGGCGTGCGACGGGCAGAAATCGCCACACGCCCGGGGCGTGCGACGGGCAGAAAAAAAACGACAGGCGCCAGCGAGGCGGACGCCATGCACGGATTAAATTTCGGTGGGCCCATTAGGTCGTAACCACTCTAATACCATGTTAAGATACTAAGCACCTAGGAAACTAGGTTTAGGCTTAGGATGCATAGCTTGGGTGTCGAGAGAGTTGAGGCAAGGAGAAAAGTCGAGAAAGGATGAGTTCACTATAGAAAGTTGGAAACATATATGCAAAGGAAAGAGAGGTGCACTACCAAACAAGTTTAGAACTACATTAAGTCTACACTACAGACAGTTATAAAGGATATATAAATATATTCTAACATCATCGTCAAGCAAGGCTCCCAATACTAGGCTCGCCTCGTCTGCCACATCGAGAAAGAGAACACTGGGTGGGTGCGCGGCGTGAACGCGGTGCAGAAGCAGTGGCGCAATCTCGTCACCATGTACAAGCATTTGAAAAAGGGGGAGAAGGCGTCGGGCAAGGGAGCAGTGTGTATGCCACCGTGGTTCCCGTACATGGAACTCTTCCAGAACAACAGGGCCGTGGCACACCCTCACGCTGTCGATGGAGGTGGTGCGACACACGTTAATGTGCCTTGCGGGTTCGCGGTACCGCCTACATCCGCGCCGTGCACCTCTACTCCGACGTTCATTGGTGAGTTCCTTACCCGTGTTCGCATGTTTGCTGTGGATTGTGTCTGATTCAACGACATCTTGAAAGAATATTGCAAGTAGTAGGTACATGCTACACGCGACATGCCGCTAACAGATTCATGCATCTCGACTGTGCGTGTGCAGCACCCCCACCGCAGAGCACTCTGACGTCGAAGCGCCAGCGGGTTGCGGAGCCAGCCGCCATGGCCGCCGCCATGGCCGCCGCCAAGCTTGTCTGCGAGACCATCAAAGGTTGTCACTCGGACGCGATGAACAGGCTCGAAGGCCTCGTCCGCGCATGGATGGAGCAGGACGACCGTATTGCGCGCGAACGCCAGGCGCAGCCCGCCCCCACTATGCCGGCCCGCAACGACATCCCCGCGGCCGCGGACACTCAGCCCGCAACTAACGCCGCCGAAGGCGGCGACGACGGATGGTTCCATCACGGGCAGGCTGGTGATGGCGCCGCTAACCCGGATGCTGCCGAGGAGGTGTGGGTTCGCGGCGACGACGAGTAAGGTACGACGACTCCAGAGCCTCGCCTAGCCGCTTGCGCCTTTCCCGCAGAGTTGTTTGCGTGCAAGGTACACAAGGCTCCCACTTGAACTCCGCCACAGCTCCACGTGTCCACCATGGGTCTCGGTTACGTGGCAAGTTGGCCCATGACACGTTAACTCGCCTCACTGTCCCCATTGTTTCGCACATGTTATGAAGGATGACGCAACAAGACGCCCCTGCAAGACCACGCCAGAGCTTGCAGTAATTGCGGCCCGAAAACAGACGCCACCGGCCTTTGAAGGCGCCAACTGCCATTCGCGTTGCACTTTGGCAGTAGTTGAAGCATTGCTCCCAGTCGTCCATTAGGCCTTCACGGGGTGCATGTAGGGGGGTCAGGCAGAAATCCATGAGTGGGTAGGCCGCGTCTCCGACTATTTGATATGGCGCTATGTCGCCGTTGTGCAACCTTTCCTGTAACGCGCTGTTCATGAACACCCTTTGATCGTGCGCACTACCTGGGTAACCGATCAGGTAGTCCCATATGATGCCTCGTGCATCACATGTCGGTTGCAGTTGCACGGCGTAACAGGATTTCCTCGTGTAGTTCTCTTGCCTGTGCCCCTCCATACCCTTCATGTGAATGTGTGTCCGTCTATAGCCCCCACTACAACAAGCACACCCTTTTTGGCGCGGAACTCCTCGGCCATCTTGTCGAGATCGTCACGGGTCGGAAGTGGACCCACTGCTGTTTGAAGACCGACGGGAAATGGATCAGCCACGCGTCAACAAGCGCATGGCAGAGGGTCTTGGACAACCCGAATAGACGAGACATGTCTCCGTACGACATGCCACTGGCGAGGTACTTGATCGCCACCAAGCAGGCCACCTCATGGGTGATGAGGTACCTGTCCACATATGGCTGCATGTAGTACACCATGCATGTGACAGTGTAGTCGAGTATTGCCCGGTTTATCCGAAACAGGTCCCTAAACTCTCCTTCTCCCATGCCTTGCAGGTCCTCTAGCAACAGTTGGTACCTCTTCCTCCGCAGACTAGCCCTTCGCTTCCTCTCCATTGTCCTGTTGGAACCGTGGGAGGTAGACGTCGACGTATCTTCGTTGGCGAATATGTTGACTTCCATCAAACCGCCGACCAACCTAGCGACGACGTCCATGAAGATAGAGTAGTAGAACGTTATCCACATGACTAGCAGTCGCATGAGGAAAGGCACTGCACGGGGCTGTGCCATGGTTGCTAGAGGTGTGAGCAATTCTGGTCTGTGTTGTGTGTTGTATTGTAGTTGGTTTGGAAGGCAGATTGTGCCCTCCTGTGTGATGTGTCTTCACAAACTCGGCTCGCATATTTTGCAAGCTCCGTTAAAGTGGCCCGCAGCGCGGGCCTCGTTTCATGCACAATGTTGTCAAACTTATATGCTATAGTCTGTTAAGGTTGTAGTGGGGTAGTTCATATAGGGTACAACACTTTTAGGTTTCCTACTTGTACCCACCTGCTTGCTAGTTAAGTCATTCATTCCTTCACTATTCTGACATGGTATTCTGAGCAGGTTCCCTAGTGGGAACGTTTTTTTTTAGGGCCCACCACGATTTTTTTTCCTGCCCTGCCCGAAGCGCGCCTTGCGCCTACCTCACCTGCGCCGTCGCGCGCCCTGCCCTAGTCCGGCCCGTCGCGGCCCTGCCTTTGCTGGCCCGTCGCGGCCCTGCCTTCGCCGCCCGTCGCTGGCCCGTCCCGGCCCGACGCCGGCCCGTCCCGGCCCGTTGCCGCCCGTCGCCGGCCCGTCGCCGCCCGTCGCTGGCCCGTCGCCGCTCGTCGCGGCCCTGCCTTTGCCGCCCTGTCGCGGCCCTGCCTTGCTGCCGCCCGAGTCGCGGCCTTGCCTTCGCTGCCCGTCGCGGCCCTGCCCTGCAGCCGCCCTGTCGCGGCCCTGCCCTGCTACCGCCCCAGTCGCGGCCCTGACCTAAACCGCCAGCTGCGGCCCTGCCCTGCACCCGCCCCTGGTAAGCACCCGCGCCGCCCTGCCGCGCCGCGCCGCCAGGAGCTGAGCCGCGCCGCCAAGCCGAGCCGCGCAGCCCAGCCGAGCCGCGCCGCCCAGCCGAGCCGCGCCGCCCTGCCGAGCCGCGCCGCCCTACCGAGCCGCTCCGCCCTACTGAGTCGCACTGCCCTGCCTGCGCTGCTCCTGCTGCTACTGCTACTTCGGCTGCCACTGCTGCTACTGCTGCTCCTGCTGCTACTGCCGCTATGGCTAGCCCTACTGTTCTTACCTTTGATGCTGAGGGGCGTGCAGTTGACTTTGACGTGTGGGTTGACGACCTGCAGCTCTTTCTTCAGTGTGACTCTAGGGACGGGGTATCCCTTTTCGATCACACGTCCGGTGTCTCTACTGCACCTGCTGCCACTGCTGACAGTACGGTTCGCTCGCAGTGGACCACTCGTGACGCTGTTGCTCGCCTTGCTGTTCGTAGTCACCTGCCGTCTGCTGAGCGCGCGCACTTTGGCCAGTACAAGACTGCTCAGTCTTTGTATGACGCTGTAGTAGCGCGCTACTCCTCCCCTGCCACTGCTGCCCTCAGCCGCCTCATGCTGCCGTACCTGTTCCCTGACCTTGCCGCTTTTGCCACAGTCGCTGACCTCATTACTCACCTCTGCACTAGTGACGCCCGCTACCGAGCTGCGCTTCCCACTGAGTTCTGTGCCAAGAACCCCTCCCCCCCATGTACATCACCCTTTACTACCTAGTCACCCGCCTCCCTGACTCCCTTTCTTCAGTCAGGGACCACTTTCTCTCCCTTTGCCCCACCGAGCTCACCGTCGACCTACTAGAGGAGCGCCTCACTGCAGCTGAGAAGAGTATCTTAGCTGTAGGTGCTTCTCGCGGCGACCGGCGCACCCCTTTCTTTGAGGGGTGTTCCCCTGTCCCCCTTCTCCCCTCTGTTGCTTCTGCTGCTGCTGTCGACCTCGTTGGCACTGCGGAGGTCGGGGCTGCGTCTGCTCCTAGTGGGAGGAGCCGCAACAGCAAGGGCAAGGGGGGCAAGGGTGGTGGAAGGGACGGTGGGGGCGGCGGTGGAGGCGGTGGAGGAGGCAGAGGGGGTGGCGGTGGAGGTGGGGGTGGTGGCGGGAGTGGGGGCTTCGGTGGCGGCGGTGGAGGTGGTGGAGGCAGCGGCAGCGGCGGTGGAGGCAGCGGCAGCGGTGGTGGAGGTGGCGGCGGCAGTGGTGCTGGTCGAGGTGGAGCCGCGCAGCGTGGAGGCTTTGGTGGTAGCCAGCGCCAGCAGCAGCCGCGTTCCCGTGAGACCCCGTCGGCCCAGCAGCTTCATGAGTGGTACGCTGGGCATGGGAGGTCTGGGGGTGTTGGTCCCTGCACTTACGTTCTTTGCACAGGCGGGCGCCATGGGGAGACGTGCGGGCTGCCACACACTGCGCAGCGCTGCTTCGGTCGCCTGACTGACGCCTGGCGCGCCCAGTTTCCTGACGCTGTTGAGCTCCCTCGCTGGGGTGATCTGCTTAAGCAGAACGTTGCTATCTTTGATCTTGATTTCGATGCTATCCTTGCTGCCATGTATGCTATGACTGATAGTGCTGAGGGTGACTGTTACCTGTGTGTTCCGCCTGACCCGGGCATTGAGGCTGCTGCTCTAGGTGCTAGTGAGTCTGCTGCTCTAGGTACTAGTGAGTCTGCTGCTCCAGGTGCCGGTGAGTCTGCTCTCTCTGGTACTGCACCTACTGAGGCCTTGCACACTTTCACACTTGACTCTGGTGCTTCACGCTCCTTCTTTCGTGACAGCACCACACTCACGCCGCTCAGTCGGCCTGTCGCAGTCTCCCTGGCTGACCCCTCTGGGGGCCCAGACCTTGCGCACTCCTCCACGGTTCTACCGTGTCCCGCGGCCCCGTCGGGCTTGCTGTCGGGACTCCACCTCCCTTCGTTCTCTACGAACTTGGTGAGTGGAGCTGACCTCCAGGACGCGTGGGTTGACCAGTTCACCCCTGGAGGTCAGCGTGTGACCCACTGCACTTGCTCTCGGACGGGCCGCCACCTGGCCACGTTCACCCGTCGGCCTGGGTCGAGTCTGTACACACTGACTACTGCGTCTCCTCCGGTTACTGCGTCTGGTCAGGTAGCCGCGTCTAGTCAGGTGTTTTCTGCCGCGTCCAGGTCTAGTCGAGCGTCGCCCCCCTGCTCGTGTCGTCCTCTGTCACACGAGACTCTCCTTTGGCACCACCGCCTTGGTCACCCCTCCCTGCCTCGTCTTCGAGGTATGGCCTCCCGTACCCTTGTCTCTGGTCTCCCCAGGTCCCTCCCTCCCCTTCCTCCGGGGCCTGCCCCTACCTGTGTTCCTTGTGTCGAGGGCCAGCAGCGCGCCGCTCCTCACTCCTCCGAGTTCCCTCCGACAGAGGCTCCCCTGCAGAATCTTCACATGGACGTGTGGGGCCCAGACCGCATCCGTGGATAGGGTCACGAGCGTTACTTCCTGCTGGTCGTTGACGAGTACTCGCGTTACACCACAGTCTTCCCCTTGCGCAGCAAGGGTGAGGTCACTGAGGTGTTGATCGATTGGATCCGCGGTGCTTGTCGCCAGCTCAGCGAGAGTTTCGGCTCGGACCTTCCTATTCTGCGTCTGCACTCAGACAGAGGTGGTGAGTTCTCCTCCGACCTCCTGAGGGCTTTCTGTTGTGTGGAGGGCATCCGCCAGAGGTTCACGCTTCCGGCCTCCCCACAGCAAAATGGGATTGCTGAGCGCCGCATTGGCATGGTCATGGATGTCGCTCGTACGTCCATGATCCATGCGGCTGCTCCCCATTTTCTGTGGCCGTTCGCGGTTCAGTACGCTGCGCATCAGATCAACCTTCAGCCTCGTGTCTCCTTGCTGGAGACCAAACCTACTCTGCGGTGGACGGGGAAGGTTGGCGATGCGTCTGTGTTCCGTGTCTGGGGATCTCGAGCTTTTGTCCGCGATGCTTCCGCGGACAAGCTGTCCTCCCGTGTCGTTCCCTACGTCTTCCTAGGCTT